CTTACATGTATATATACACAACGAATATATTACAATACAGAAAAAAATCAGGGATGAAATTTTATATAGTTGATGATTTTTTTTTAATTGGAAAACATTTATCATTCAAACCTTTATGAAATAAAGACTTCGTCGTACTAGCGAAACACGTGTCTCTGTTTTATGAACTTTCAAGTGGAAATCTCACATTAAAATGTGTTTTTTGAATACGTTAACTTATTTTGATAACTGTATTGGGTTCATAAAAATTATGTACATATGAACACAGTCAACTGTTTTACTCACCTCTCAAGTCATAAATCTTTATATTTTTTCCATTCATTCCAGAGGCTAAAACTCTACTAGAACCATAAATCCAAGCCAAGCTATAGGTCACCTCAGATGGAGCAAGTTCTGCAACAGGTTTCAGCAATTCCACAGCTGAAGCCATAGTATTTACTGCCATCCGACTACTGTTGTTGCCATCACTGGGCGAGTTTAGTTTATTGATGTCCCAAATGAGGATAGAATTGTCAGTTTTGTATTTTTCCAAGCCAGCAGCTAATATATTACATTCAACAGGATTGAACAAAACTGCATTACAATATCGACTATGCCTGGGAACTGCCCAATTTCATTATTTACATAATCAAATATTAATTTGTTCAAAAAGTTTTGTCCGTTTCAATGTCATGTGCATTTGTTACCTGCCTTCAGAAAGGCAGGTAGCATTAAGTATTCTGAATAATTAAATTCAGAACACCGTTTCTAACTTGATTTCATACAACACTCACCCAATTCTTTTCCTGGAAAACCATGAAGATCATGTTCGGAAGGTCCAAATGTTGTCAACGAGACTCTGCCATTAGCAAGTCCAATAGCCAGTAGCAAATCTACCTCACACTTTGGGTAGATGTCTATACTCCTCACATAGTGGTAATTGGTATTAGTAGTTAAAAGTTGAGCACAATAAGTGTCCGAAATATTGTAACATGGAAGTTTGGAATTATCTGCAAATGAATTCTGATCAATTTTTTTATCCAACGTGTGACTATAAATATATAAAAGAAGTATTACAAACCAGAAAACTGAACCATTGATTATTGTACATTTTCAATTCGATTTGTTATTTCTGGACATTACAACATAGGGGGCTTGGAGAGAATGCCTCAACATATTTTGCACATATGGATTGAAAGTAAGAATAGTTGTACAACTGAAGTCTACCTGAATATAATTTCGTTTAATTTGTTTCTTGAATAAGTTATTGATTTTCTTCAAGTTTCAGCCGATTCCATCAAATATCAAAAACCATCAGGTTATTCTCATCAATATACTAATGTCATCAATACTAGTCATTAGTATATTGTTAAAGAAAAACTTGTTTCTGCAATATTACCAAGGAAACTCTTGAAATTTCACTAGTTATCAGACATGAATGGATGAAAAAAGTGTGCTCCTACTCACAAAAAGGTGACAAACAAGATATTGTAAAACTACAAACCAATCGACCTAAACATATTTTGAATAGAATTTTCTATTATTTCACCTGCAAAACTATTGTCCTTTGAAATAGGCTGAATTTCATATAAACTTATCTCTGCTCCCCAAGTAATGAATTTGTTTTTCACCGAAGACCATTGTATTTCCAATTTTCCAGCCATAATAGGAGCTCTAAAATTGAATTAAGGAAGGAATGTTTTCTAAAATATTGTTTACTAACAGACATGACATGAGTAAGTAAATAAAAAACTTTCCGTTTTAGGTTAAGAGGGTTAAAAAACCAGAGTATAGTCACGTCACAGAATAGTAAACAATTATTCTTTGGTATAAAAAGGGCGAGTTCTTAAATTCTTCGGTAACCCATCCGCATTCGTTTTGTCGCCAGTAAAGCTCAGGATGTGCGGCGAAGAAACTTAAATCAACGCTCGGTTTCTCCGAATTTTCAGTTGGGCACAGCAGTAACGCTTACAAAACATGAAATATATTTCGAATTTTTGTTGTTTCACGAATCAGTTCGTTTTTATTAGGACCGAAGCATAAAAAACTATCCACTATATTGACTGTATTTATAATTCAGTTATTATCTCCATAACGAAGTTTATGAAAATTATATTCTTTATTTCACTTACAAACTTTTTACTTCAAGAAGTGTTCAAACTAATTATCGAATGCTACTGGAAAAGAATCAATATTTCATTCTCATTTATTTTCATTTATTTGCTGGACGGACTATTTCTATCATGATTTCAGATATTTTGATTCATATTTATTCGAAAATCACTTGCTCTACACAGATTATTCAGAAATATTCCGTACTGATAATACTGAGGAAAAAATGAATTTGTTCAGTGAGACTATATAAAATTTGTTTAATATTCATGCTCCGATGCGAAATGCTAGAGTCACTAAAAAAATTATAAAAATGATGATGAGGACACATGTGATGATGCACATAATAGATTTTAAAAATCTCGAGAGCAGCACCATTGGGAATTTTATAAAGCTTTGCGTAACGAGGTAAACTATGCAATCAAACGTAAAAAAAATAAATATACAATTCCGACTCGCTTATGTTTGCAGTAATATGTGAAAAGAACTGAAAAATCTGAACATCATTACTAGTAGCAAGAGGTCTATCATTCAAGACAGTCACCAGTCAGGTTTTCGTCCAAATCATAGCTGCGCTACTGCTCTCCTTAAAGTGACGTATGACATATTATCATATATAGATGTAAACAAGCTTTGTGTTCTCGTACTTCTTGATTATTCAAAAGCTTTCGACAGAATTAATGCCATTTGCTACTACTTTTCTTTGTTATTGCTGTTTGCGTAGCAATAAAAACATTTATTATTATTATAAATTACCACTCTGCACTGCCCGTTCGATAGAGCGTCAAATCGAATGAAGCTCATTGATGTCTCTGGCAGATTTGACAGATTGACTTTGATAGACATTGGTTGTATAGTTTATATATGAATGAAAATATCCAAAAATATTCTTCTTCTCTTTTATCATGTAATGGCCTCAGCTACTAAGTCTATAACGTATTGACTGTGCATTCAATTATTCAAGTGTCAGCTTCGAGTGTTGTCCACTTTCATATTTTTTTCAATATTGATTATCTATAGAAAATTCCGCTACTTTATGTTCAAATCCGCTACGCTGCTACCGTTGAGTAAATTCCGCTATAGTAGCGGAATTCTGCTACGGTTGGCAACTCTGCTTCAAAAATCGGATAAAGTCGTAGTCACCCAAATGAGCTGGCCTGGCAAATTGCATCAAAAGGGAGCAGAGCCAAGAGAAGAGGAGAATCATAGTCTTATTCTGTCTTATAGACATATAGTAATGTCAATGTCTGTGTCTACCAATGAATTAAAAATAAATATGTGATAAATAATTATGAAGTAATATTAATTATTTGTAATAATCAAAATTGAATCAAGATGGAAGTTGAAGGCGAAATGGAGAAAGTTCGTCCCAATATTAGGATAGAAATTCAAAACGAAAAAATGGATGTAGATGGAAATGAAAATGAGGAAGGAGAAATAGTTGAAGATGATTTACCTCTGAACGCCAAGAAAGATGTTCCTGATAATACCAAAAATGTATGTACTATCAGCTCGGTTTGAAGTTTTGATTATAGGCTTTAGGCTAAAAAGAAAGTCCTTTATAGATGAGATACTATTCAAACACAAGACTTGTATCTCGAATCAAATATTAAAATGTTTTCAAAGCAATATCTAGAAGGGACATGTTTGTAGTGTATATAGTAATTTTAATCTAATGCTATACTTTTTCTGATTTGAAAAAGTATTTTGAAAATGTCAAGTTTTACTTCAATTGAGTTATTTTAGTATTATTATAAATTATATGGTGCTTCAAATTCTCCTTCAAGAGATTTTTGTGCTGATTTTGACAATTTTTTTTTAGGTGCAATCTGTTTCCAGGAGTATTTTTACAACGGGAATAAATATTTTCGAGGAAGGGGAACAAAAGAAATTACAGAAGAGAGCTGAAAGATTTGCATTGAAACCTGAGGAAATACATAATTTTACAGATGCTGATTTAGAAGAACTTTACGAAAGTTTGGGTATTACCAGTCAAAATGATATCAATGTAAGATTTGATACAATCCATGTGCTGGGAGTTAATGGATTAATAGCTGAAGATGTTTTGGAGTATTTTGCTAAGTATGCTCCATCAGGAATAGAATGGGTTGACGAAGAAAGTTGCAATGTCACTTGGACGGAAACTATTACAGCTGCAAGAGCTTTGTTTTATGCATCTAAAGCTGTTCAAGGCATGCCAGCTCGTGAACCAGTTGATACATTTCCAAAAGAATTCATGGATGATGTTGATGAACCTCAGGAAGGTACTGGACAGAGCATTCTTCTTAAAAATCGAAAAGTCGAATTGAAAATAGATGACCCTCTAATATCCAATAAAGTAAACTTGAAAAATGCGGTCGATATAAGTGAAATTAAAATTCCAATTCCACCAGGTTACTGGAGGTTAGGAGAGAAATATCATAAAGCTAAGTGTTTACTATTGCGATTTTCTCTTAAAACTGATAAAAAACCGTACAAAGTAGAAACTTTCCATAAGTATTATAAAAAGCTGAGCACCAAAAATATCATATCTGACAGAAAGAAACAAGAAATAAGGGGGATTTTTGAAAGAAATAAAGACTTCAATCAAGATAAAAACCCATGGGGCTCATTAGCCAAAAACTGGGACAATGATGCTAAATTTCGAGAACGTGAACCAAATCATATCGATGAACCAAAAGTAGAAATAAAAAATCCCAGCCTTTTGGTGAGGCTTGGAAAAAAGAAAGATGGTTCAGAATCTGAAAATGATGTAGAAGTACTTGAGAATGATGAGAGTGGTCAGAAGAAGGCAAAAGTGGCATTTCCACGTATGAGAATGTATGCAGACGAAGAAGAAGAAAAAGTGAGAAGAAAAAAGCTGTTGCAGACAATAAAGAAACAGACTGAAAAAATATCAAGGGATGACAGGCAAGAAAGTGACTTGAGAAACATTTTATCTGTAACGAATTATACTGAACCGATAGAGGTAATTGATTTAGTAGAGGAAGACCTTGGAAGTAAACTCAAAAACAGATCGAAACAAATGGTATTCACCGTTGAAAGGAATTTAGAAGACATTGATTCGTTTGACAGAAAAGAGAATGTGAGATCCGATGTGAGGTCTCTTCTAGACCATCGTAGAAACAGATCTCTTTTACACAGGGAGAGAATGTCTTCCCATAGATCTCCGGAGAGACGAAGATCCCCAAAATACCGTACGAGAAGTCCATTGAAAAGATATGCTTCTCCTGCCAGAAGATATTCACGAGACAGGATTAGATCTGTTCACAGAAAGAGAACACCTGAAAGGACATTGCATAGTGATCGCTTGAGCAGTCGACATAAGAGGGCCAAGTCGGATTATTCAGAGGATGAGAAGTACAGTGAAAAACCAAGAAGTAAGGTCGCAGTTGTCGTTAAAACACAGAAAAAACCAACAGTTGCTTCTACCATTTGGTCGAGAGTTCAGCATAACTCTGACAGTGGCACTTCTAGTGATAGTGACAGTGAAAGTTCAGAATCAATATCTGACAGCAGCAGTTCCAGTGAAGATAGTGGATCAGAGTCGGACTCGGAAAGTGAATCGTCTTCAGATACAGGAAGAAAAAGAAGAAAGATAGAGAGGCCGGGTTTTAGTAGTAATTCTGTTCCAAAAATAAATCAAAAGAGTCCTTTGAAAATTACCATGACAAACGATCGTTTTCGAAGATGACTGAGTTGTTGTTCGAGTGTTTTTTAACAAGTTTTTTCTTAGGACTTTATGGGTATTCTACAGTTGAATACTTTGATTAATATTGCTTTTTAAGTCAATTTATGTTTGGAGTAGCAACCTGGTGAATAAAAAGTATTCTTTTAAAAATTAGTACTAGTTTATTTCAACAGTGATCAGATACTATCATTCATCATCAGTATTATTTAATTGACTTAACCTGTTCAGGACTGCAAAGATTTTAACTAGTCATACCTGCAGGGCCACAGCCAATGTGCAAGGCAAATGTGTTTAACTTCTATCAGCCTTTTTAGGCTGAATTCTTTGGCGACCCCCCAAGGTTTAACTCTAAAACAATAATTGAAAAACTACACTAGTGGCAGAGTTTTATCCATAAAAAAACACTAGTAACTAGTAAAATAAACAATAATTTTTGTCACTTGAATTATTTTATGATAAATAAGGGACAGTAGAGGCCCTCACTGATTTTAAACGCTTGCAGTAGTTTTATGACAGTTGTTAACCTCAAGCTCATTCAAGCTTGAGTCCTAACTTTCAACAATGCTTGTATCGACAAATTTTGTATAGGTATTGGAGAAGAATACCCAGAACTGTTGCCGTTTTATACATCTTACAACTGTGAACAAAGATTCTCTATAACGGTGAATTTAAATACAAAATCAAGAAATCGTTGTGACGCTGGACAATGAAGCACATATTTCTCACTAATAGAATTTTAAAAAAGTTTTATGTGGATTAAAATCTTGTACGTATATATTTTTTTTATGAAAAAACTACAGCAATAACTAATTTTTTCAATTCTCCATATCTTAACCACTCTGAACACATCCTGTAACCTACCGTTTGAGATCCTCTGTGTATAGTATAAGTTTTTACCCAGCTGAAAGTACAAAAGTGTAGAGGAGCCACTCGATTAATTCGAAATACAATTCTCATATCAAAGTCAGAATTTATCGCTTGAGAGAGGTTATTCTAATGATCCATAAAACCTAAGACTAAGGATCATCTAAATATGAACAAAATAATCACTCCTCATCAATTTGGGTTTCAGAAAATTAAAAGCGCCAATGACGCAATATTTAGTTTTCTGCATAAAGCATAGGTACAGTAACTTGAGAAGGTACTAGAAACAGCAATATATAATCAACTAATAGAATATGTTGAAAAAAGCGACATTTTAATCAACAATCGATCGGGATTTCGCCAAATGCACTCGTGTGAGTCATCAGTGCAAGTATCTCTAAGAAAATTCAAAACTGAACTGGATAATAATAAGTTTGTTGTGGCCGTGTTCCTTGACCTCAAAAGAGCATTTGAGACCATTGATTAAATATCTCGTAGTTTTGAGAGACTTTCCTAACGGCTTCCAGAGACTTCCACCGCAATATATAAACATTACCAACACGCAGATCGGGGAAGTTTAGTTGAAAGTGCGGTACGAAGTGATCTAATAAGGCGACAGACATTTGAGTATCAGTTGAAGTGTTTGTGTTGTATTGTCAGTGTAGCAGTGAAATAAATTTGAGTGATAAATTATTGACAAACCCACGGGGAAAACGTAAAACTACTAAATATCACAAATTCGGTTTAACAACCCAATAATATTTTTAATTTTTATTGGTTTCGAGAGATTTTCACCTGATTCAAATAAATGATTTTATGGTGAAATTGATTGAATTCCAAGAAAATCAGGAAAATTTCGAGGCATTCAAAAAAAAGTACCCAATTTATAACCAAAAATCTCATTCTTCTGACAGCTGTCTGACACGATTGTCCAAACTTGATATTTTCCAAGAAAATGGTGTCTAAAGGTTATAAAATTCCAAAATACTTACAAAAGCGAAAAATAGAGATAATCCGCAAGAAAATCATAAAGCGAAAATATGGTTATCTTTTCTATAGAAGAACCGTTTCTAAAATCCTACCGTCTCAAGCAATTAAACTTTATCAAAGAAGACTGAAAATCAGTGCATTAAAAAAATGGACGTTATTCTGGTATAAAGAAAGAAAAGAGTGGAAATTTTTAATCAGAGCAGAAATCCACTACAATTTGACACAAACTTACAAATCTTTACAGAAATGGAAACATTTTCTACTACTTCAAAAATCATCAAGAATAAAAGCCCAAATTGCTTCAATCCACAGTTCTGCAAATTATTCTCGACGTTTGTGTCTTCAAGTTCTCAGTAAATGGAAATGGTTCACAAGATGTCGGTTGAATGAAAAAATGAAAAAGAATATGGCTGTGAATTTTTTTAAATCAAAATACAATCCAGAGATACTGAAAAGTTTTATGTCGAGGTGGATTATTTACACAAAAGCTTCAAGAAGGAATAGATATAGATATTCAAGAGCTGTAAAGTATCATGAGAAGGTTTTAACCTCCAAGGCATTTCATAAACTACAGAGGTATAGGAATAAGAAAAAAATTCGCAGAGAAATAATTAATAAAGCTGAAAAAATATTTGAAAAAAAACTCAAGTTTGAATCTTTCAACAAAATAAAATCCTACACACGAAAAAGCATTCAAGAAAAACAAAATATAACATTAGCCGAAACACATTATTTTTATCAACTTAAACGGAATTGTATTTCAAAGTTGAAGGTGAACAGAATCAGAAACCATAAAATCAAAACTCATTTGAAAATAATGGAATTGCGGCAAAACTTAAAGATTGAAAAATGTTATTTTGAAAAGTTCAAAATGTATCATGAGCGAAAGAAGAATAAAATTCAAAAAATCGAAGAAGTAAGAACTCATTTTGAAATTCATTTAAAAAAAAGTACGCTGAAAAATTGGTCGTTATATATTAAGTATCGCCGAGACAAAGAACAAAAAAGACAAGTTATAATGAATACAGTGGGTGAAATTATTATTAGAAATAAAGTTAGTTATGTGTTGATGAAATGGAAGAATTACACAGATTATCAGTTCAAGAAGAAAACTAAAATCAATGGTGCTGAAACATTTTTCAAGCGCAATCTTTGGAAAAAATATTTTAAATTCTGGAAAGAGTTTGTCAACCATAAAGTTTCCGAACGAATGAAATATGAAAATGCTTGTATTTTTGATACTTGCAACTTAGCAAAAAAATATTTTAGGCTTTGGGTAACATTTGTAGATTCTAGAAAAATTTTTAGACAGAAACTTGTACAAGCAAATGAACATTACCAAAATAGAAAGATGAAAAAAGGATTATTGATGATAATGAAATCTGGTTTGATTCAGAAGGAACATCTTTATAAAATTTCCAGGGAAAAAATAGGTAACCATCTTTTTTTGGCTCAAAAATTTCTGAGTAGATGGAAGCAAAGGACGATTTATAATAAAAGTAGAGAGCTGGGAGCTCCTGCAAAGTATTTCGAAGAAAATGTAAAAATTATTGAGCATTCTTCCATTACCGAATGGTATCCCATTTGCTTTTTAACGCCAAGGTTTCCAACATGATGTAAAAATGTTCACGTACAATTTTCTGTATTTTATTAAAAATTATGTACATATCAACAATATTATTCATAACATCACTTCTTTCGTTTCTTCTTTCTGTCTAATTCATTCAATTCACTCTGCTGCATGGCTGCCTCTGCATAAATACGTTTGACTTTTTCTCTTCTTTCATTGTCGCTGAAAAAAAAAAAATAAAAATATCATCTGAATACATAACGGAGGATTATAATGTACCTTCTGATCTGTTGGTTTATTTTTACTCTCCCTAAGAATGCCTTATCTTTACGGATTTCCCTTATTGCCCCTTTTCTCTCATTTTTGAGCTTGTGCAACAATTTGCTACGTTCAGCCTTTTCTTTTGATTGTACTTTGAAGCGTTTGCCATCATACCTGAAAAAAAAACATGAATATTCAAGTAAATTGTTAGCTGAAAATTACATAAAAAATGTTATCCATCTTTCATATATCATATTCAAGAAACAAGCCTTAATAATTGTTCATTTTTTTATTATTATGTACCGCATCTTTCATATATCATATTCAAGAAACAAGCCTTAATAATTGTTCATTTTTCTGCATAAGCGTGTCCATTGGAAAGTGAGGAATTCCACGTATCGCAGTTCCACCTGGTGTACCGCAGGGATCTCATTTAGGACCATTATTTTTCAGCCTATTTGTAAATAACTTGAATGATACTATTCTCTAAGGTGAATTTCTTTTGTTTGCTGATGAACTGATCAACTGTGGCTTGGCAAAGGTCCTGCTCAACTCGACTTGCATTTCGCGATCGTTCTAAATATCTCGTAGTTTTGAGAGACTTTCCTAACGGCTTCCAGAGACTTCCACCGCAATATATAAACATTACGAGTATATTCATAAAAAAATTCAAAAAAATTATTCTTTTTCACTAGAATTACCAATAATCTTTCAACCGAGTCAAGTATCACAGTTTACAACTCAATTGTTCGGCCACACTTTGACTACTGTTCCTGTATCCTATATCTATTCAATCAGAATAAATTGTCTCAACTCCAAAAACTTCAGAATCGTGGTATGAGGATCATTTTTAAGTGCCGTAGAGATACCCCTATTACTATTATGCTTAATGTTTTAAATTAGCACTCTATTTTCCAAAGACAAATCTTTCCTTTTTTTTTTACAAACGACAACTCTCAGAAGTTGAGAAACTTGTGCGAGCTAAGGACTAACGAGGTCTTACCTATTAACGTGTGATTCCAAACACGGTTGCAGAATCATTACACGGTTGCAATCACTCTTGACAAAAAAATGCCATTCAATCCCCATATTGCAAATGTTGCTTCTAGAGCACTAAAATGTTGGGTTTCACTCTTAGATCTGCAGAGGAATTATCTCTCTTTCTTAAAAATCATATATTGTTCAAGGGTTGGATAAATAATCGAATACAACTCCACAATTTGGTGCCCCTCATATAATGTGGATATTGATATGCTTGAAAGTGTTCAAAACATAATAATAATAGGTATTCATTCCCAGAATGATACAATAAATAAATGTGAACATTTACTGAAACGGGAAAGGCTGAAGATCAGTTGGTTGCATCAAAAGATGCAACCTCTATTTTTCATCATGTTTTTAAGGTACTCTGCATACAAACTGGGATATCATATTGGTGAATATAAATATAAAATTATATTGTGCATTCTTAACTTGAATACTCTGGCTCGTAGAAGATTAAAATCAGATCTTACACTAATTCACAAAATAATCAATGTTGAACTTCAAATGTGAATCAAAAGAGAACAAAAAATAAAAAATTCTTCAAGGTACACTTTTATCATACTAACTATGGCCAGAATGAGTCTATAGGTAGAATTTTGAGACTTGCAAACACTTACAATATGGATTTAGAACTTTTCAATTCTTCTTTGGAATCATTTAAAAAGATTGTAATTGAATGGCTTATATTTGCCTTTTTTATATTTTTTTTTCCTAAACCTATCTGATAGTTATAGTACATATTTGTTATTTATTTGTTAATTATTCTGTAAAAATAGGCAATGCTGTAAATAAATGAATGAATAAGAAAATAAATATTTTGAAATGGGATGTCAAAACATTCATCTCTGCCAACGTACCTACATAGCAGGTTCTGAATAATGCCTGCCGGAATACAACAACTTCCCTGGCTAATACCACGCTGCATATTGAATTATATTCGACAAACATTCATGCAAGATACTTCACAGAGGTTAATCTATTATTTAGTAAATAAATAAATAAACTTACACTTCTTCAATTTTGGGTTCATATAATCTTAAAGCCTTGGGTCTCTTAGCTTCCATAACTATATATTCCAGTTTCCTTTCAATTTTAGACTCCTTCAAAGACGTTTTCAATTTTTCCATAACATTTCTCACTTGTTCCGGATAATTTGTGGTAGGTATAAGTATCAAATATCTTAGTACAGGTTCAAAAATTTCAACAGCACTAGGAAGTTCACTCAGATTATGATGAAACTCTTCCAGTAATTTAGTAACATTGTAAAGGGTTCTCAATTTGAAGTCCTCGTCTATATCAATTCGAATTAGGTCAGTACTCTCCATTAGGAGCGTCTTGTCATATTTTAAACTGAAATTTTTCAATAAAACAAGAATACTTGATGTTGGTTTGAATGGAGGAATGACCTTTATTAGTTTCACCCCAGTTTTTGGAATTGCCATATGCAGAAGCCCTGCTAGGTAATTAATGACGGCAGGTAAATATCGTCGGGAAATTGAAGTATACTGAAACAGTTACTAATTCATAAGATAAGACAGTTTATAAAATAATACAAAATCAACTCACCTCTAAAACTATAGTGGTAAGAAATATTCCATAACTGATTTCCCTTCTGTTTCTGTTCTTACAATGGTTAAGTATCTGTTCTATGAAAATGAAACAGGGAGTAACAACTTGGTGCCGAAAGTCTGATGTTGAAAATAATATACTAACCAACTTAAGAAATACAAAAACCTCCAATCCAGGATATGTTTTTGGTTTTTTTCTATACTCTTGATGCTTTTCTTTAATAACCTCCAATACTGAATTATGTGCATTTTCTGGATTCAATTGAGCTAACTCATATATTTGAGGTAGTAAACTGCGAAATATTTCGAAACTATTCTTAACAGAATTCAGTTGTTGAATTTCACTGAACAAATCATTCAAATACTGAAGTAAATATGCAAAAAGTAATCCAAGGTTATCCTTATTTCCTTCTGATAAGCTTGGATGATTGCATTTGATAATTCTTTCAAGAATGACACTCTGGTGAGTACTTGGTTGATTTTCAAATAATTTCAATAAACTTTCATAAGAGTCAGGTAAACTGTATGTGTAAGGAAGCTCATTCCGAGCTTTCTCCATTATTTCCTTTCTCTGAGCTAGTTCACGTTTGATTTTTTCCTGGGCTTCAATATCTTCGTTGGATTTTTTTATCTCAACTTCTTGACAAACTTCGTCTCCTAGTTTGTCTTCAACTTTTTCAAACGCTTCTTCTGTTTCGCTTTCGTCACTTTCACTGGTATCTTCCTTCAAGTCAGATAAATTATCTTCAGAATCTGTTTCTAGTTCTTCATCTGAAGTTTTTTCAATTTCTTCAGATTTTTCATCACAACTACCTTCTTCCTCTGGCAGTTGATTTCCGTTGAGGGTTTTACCATTAATATCTGCGTTCACTTCAAAATTTGACTGACCTTCTGTGTTATAACTAAGCACATAATCAGGATCCTCTTCATAAACAATATCATCATCCAGATCATCTGCGCTTCTGTGGTTAATTTTAACATTACTTTCATTAACAAATCCTTGCATTCGTGCCAGTCTATCCTTTTCAAGTTGTTCTAGTCGATCTTTCTCTTCTTTAGCTACTTCATCTTCAGTCTTGAGACGATCCGAGACTGTACCTCTAGCCTCAAATCTGAGTTCTCCCATGAGTCGATCATAATTATCAACTTTGGATTTTTGTATTCCATCATCTCCTGTTTTTCTGCTCTTATTGACAAGAGGAAGTAAATCTTTCCAATCTTCATCTAACTTTTCTGTTAATTCTAAAGTAGCTTCTTTGGCTTTCTGTTTTTCGGCTTTCCTTTTCTTTGACTCTGCTATTAACTGATCGATAAGATCTTTATGACTCTTTGCTCCCTCAACTCCAGTTTTCTTAAGAATACCTCCTCCAAAATGAGCCTCACCTACAAAATCTTTTTCCAATTTTCCAGAATCTTCATCCAAACTTTCATCATCAGATCTTGGATCATCAAATTTTTCAATTTCACTTAGAGTTTGTCCTTTATGTGTCAAAATTTCATCCTCCGCAAGATTGAATATACTTTTTTTGTTATGAGCTTTGATTCTTACTGCAGTGAACCGAGCCATAGCCTTATCTTCAGAAGTCATTTCATGGCTTTTTTCACCAATCCGCTTATCCATAAATTTATTTGACTTGTTCTGAACTTTATATTCCTTCAAGAGAGTATATTTCCTTTTTTCGATGGATTTCCCTCTAGATACACCAGGTAAACCTCTATCATTTTTTGCTTTTTTTCCTATAACTCTTAGTTTTTCTTTATTTACATGCACTTCAAAAGGGTTCATTTGTGGTTTTGTACCTAACTTTTCTTTCTTCTTATGGATTCGATCTGCAGAAAATTTCGATTTATTTTTTATTTTGGCCATATTCACTCACTTATACACTGCGGCCCGAACTGTGAATTGAATAATATAATTAATATATAAATATGTAAACAAACGATAATGTGGGCACATGTAAAATGTTAGGTTATGTTCACGAAACACGAAACCTAAGGTAAAATGTCAATGTCAAACACATAGAATTGGCCTGCGTGCGGTGGTGGGTCTAATATCAGTGGGCGGAATCACAGACCATATACCCTCTGTGGGCGGAGTGCTGCTCGTTTTCGGCAGTTCGAGTTGATATCGTAGTGCTGAGAAATGTCGTCTGTTTTCTTCCAATTAGGGTTTGAAATTTCGCTTTATACTAACATACAATGGTCGCTCCCTGCTAGTAATGAAAGCTACAGAATATCAAGCGTGAATGAAAGATGATAGGATTGTGGCATTGGTTACTAACATTTTTGTTCTATTCATCCGCAATTTTCTGGACAGGACAATAGAGGCGTAGAATTCTCAAACCACGAATGAAAATAACGCATGCGTTAAAATCAGTGTGTTGAATTTACTCTTGAATTGCAGAGAGACAGGCATTTTTTGTCATATGCAACATATTCTATTTATATTTCGAGAATTCTACACCAGTATAATGTCACAATTATCAGTGTTACCATTCAATTTCATTTTCTCACTGAAATATAGATAATTCCTCAGATAATTCAGTGATTTTGTCAAACTCCGCCATTGGCCGCTGTCTTTTATCAATGTTGCATGATCAAGCAGAGAGAGCGAATAACTTTTGGCGGAACGGTTCAAACCGCAATAAGATTAGTGTTAACAAAATAAATTTTGCCTAGACTTGGTTAATAAATTATTGGGAGTCAGACATAAACTATTATAATTTATTTGAAAACGGTTATCACTGGCAAAAAACTGGGCTCGATATAATTAAATATTTTGGGGCCATAGTCCTTTTCTGAAGAAAACGTTTTTCTTCGAAATATATCTGTGGAATGTATTGACAATAGATGCATTCAAATTCTCATATAGAATATTTATCAATATATTTTGTCAAATGGAATTATTTACAATAACAACCGATTGGATAAATTGGGAGCCAAACTACGTCTATAAATAGTGTCCAACAGAAAATTATTATTCAAACTGATGAAGATATTGCTACTATCACTATTACCACTGCTGCTCTGACTGTTGCCTATTACAATTGAAAAAGTGATATGATTCAAAATTGTGAGTGAGTGAAATGTGCACTAGTTTACAATGGTATATGATATCTTTCGACAGGAAAATTATTTTTTTCCATAAACTACACCTCACGATTTGATCTCCACAAACTTCATTTGAAAAATATATCACATGTTCCGCTAACACAGTAATTCAAATCACTGTTGATAAAGCTACTGTGTTAGCGAAACATGTGATATATTTTTCAAATAAAGTTTGTAGAGAACAAATCGTGAGGTGTAGTTTATGAAATTACTATAGATCTTCATCAAGTAACGGCCGAACAAATGAGAAAAAAAAAGGAACATTATTTCTCTATATTTCTGGGTTTTGCTTCTATTCAACCGCATTGGGCAATTTCAGAAAAATCAAGCAATCTAGCAAGATTTGATGAGTTCTTAACATTCAACAGAAAATTAGATCGCTTCAACCACCAACGTTTCGAATGGACAAATAGATGAACACATCGGACCCATTAGTTGACTCATTGATAATTTTAAGAACTCGCCCAAAAAAAAATTGAAAATTCGAATTTGTTTTGTGTTTTGTGCTTTTTTGGGGTTTGGATTTGGCAGGTTAAAAGGTTAGAAGTATTTCTTTTAACAAAAAAAACCCTATTGAAATTTTTGCCAATATGATGTGAATGTTATCACAATTTATTTTTTCATAATTTTTCAAATCATATTCAGTACATTAGAAATCACTTGTTATGATACTATAACCCATCAGGATGGACACGGATATTGATCAACAAATTCCAGAGACGTCTCAGCAAAGTAAAGACATTCCAGTTCAGAATAAAGAATCAACAAGATACTGTTGGGTGTGCTTTGCAACAGAAGAGGAAGATAGGGAAGCTTCCTGGGTACAGCCCTGCAACTGTCGAGGAACAACCAAATGGGTAACTTTAATGAAACCTTTTTCACTAACTTCTAATTAGTTCTCTCATAGGGATATGTGCAAGGTACTTGTAAACGAATATTGTGGTCACTTTATGCATCCACAACTGAAAAAAAAGAGTTTCAGATGCAATAATACAGATGAAGACTCAATTTTATGGAAAATGGTATTTCATCAAATTTTCCGAAACTTCATCAAATTGCAGTATTCGACCTGCTGATTAGCTTTTGAGATACAGGGTGAAGTTGGGATATTCCCACTTTTTTATAATATATTTTGAAAAAGGGCTGAGAAAATACAACTCAGATTGAAAAAATATTTTTATCATCTCTGAACATTACATATGCATTAATATTGTCAATATTTCACTTCTGCAGTTTCAGAATCATCTAAATTAAGGTTGGAATATGTAGCTTTTGTAAATGTCTGTGATGATGACCTGTATTGTTCTTGGTGATTTTTTGTATTGTTTTTTAAACCTTACAGTGAAAACCTAACAGTAAACTGTCTTTTTTTCATATGGCCAGTTTCATTCAATTATTGAAAACTAATCTAAAGAACGAGCTGCATCCAACTTTTGATTAGAATGTCAAATATCTACCCACTGCAATTTGCCAAAATTTCAGAAAATTTAACAAAACGTAATTTCACATAAGAAAAGTGAAGGGTATTATGTTTTCTAATTTGAAAAGACCTCATATGTAATTTTGAAAAATCTGTTTTGTTCATTAAACCTCATGCTGAAAAGAAATTAAATCACCATCCTTATGTATTACGCCCTTCGAAGAGCAATGATTAATATGACCGACCAAGCGTCTTTGTTTCATTTAGGTTGGAGCTCAGCTCCCTTTCCCTTTTAGCTGATTTTTGTTGAAGGAGGACAAATGGGTTCATGACTGAGGAGATATTGGCGGTATGAAGTCCTCAAACTTCAGTACAGCCCTTCACAGGGTACCCCTACCTGGCTGGGGTGGGATGATTGATATGAATAACACACTAATGATAATAAATTAAAAATATTTCAAAGAAAGATTTGAATCAAGGCTGACTATTTCATTAAGCTTCGCCAATTTAAGTTGTTTTGTCAAAAACTTATAACTATCAACTTTTAATGAAATATTATGAAAGTTTAATTTCATTTAGTTCACCTTAAAGTTGTACAGTGAATAATAATAATAGTAGACTATGATTTTGATCTTTTTTCAGGTGCATCAGTCATGTCTTCAAAGATGGGTGGATGAAAAACAAAAAGGAGGTAACATAGGAAAAGTTGCTTGTCCCCAATGTCAAACAGAATATATCATAGTATTTCCAAATATGGGTGTTTTGGTGCTTGTACTGGACACTGTAGATAGCTTCATTTATAAAGGGTGTCCTTTTCTAGCAGCTGGTATTGTTGTAGGGGCTATTTATTGGTGTGCTGTGACTTATGGGGCTATTACAGTTATGCAAGTGAGTAATTTTCAGATTTATTCTAAGAAAAATTAATCAATTATCATATATTCATTATCTACTGGAATACCAGCTGCATTTCAGTGCTAGATTTGAATGAAAGTAATTTCAGTTCTCCAGTATGTTGCACTCGAAACACAAAGCTAATTTTTGATTAGAGAAGTAGAAATTTATGTCTTTGTATTTCATTGTGAGTTGCTAACGTAGCCTTTGATTTTTGAATAGGAATACAGGAAATACAGTCCACGTATATTGATACTCAATATAATTATGTTGAGTATCAATGTACGTGGACTGTATTTCCTGTAATATGAATTTAAATGTTGTCCATTTGGCGTGATTCTGGTAACTAGAGAGAGCCAGTATTTCAAATTTAACCGAACTGTGCTCATCTTGAGAATTTCAGCAACTCTCCTTATTTTGTCAAACAAAAAATCACAGCCTGCCTCCCCAACAGCATTCGTCCAATATTCAATTCATTTTCTAATATGATGAGTTTATCATATATACAGCAATTCTGTGTTAACGTACCTCACTAGCTTTTTGAAGTCCGCTTCGTACTTTGTCATGATGACTCATCACCAAATTATGATTTCTCGGAATGAGGTTATTGAATGCTTTACTAATATATAGACGGCACATTGTTGAATTAACAAGTAGCATGAAATATATACATTCATTATGTCGAATTTCAAGTTTGAATGTTTATTGTCAGTTGTTATTAATTTGCTTTACTCATTTTAGGTTGTTGGTCAAAAGGAAGGCCTCAACATTATGGAACAAGCAGACCCATTGGTTTTACTCATCGGTCTTCCGGCTATACCTGTTTCCCTGGTCTTAGGGAAAATGATTCGTTGGGAGGATGCCGTGCTGCATTTCATGAGGAAAAACTTTGCAAAAATCCCTATAATTCGAAATGTATTTCCATTTAGGTAACAAAAATCTCTCAATTGTTATTTCAAGTATCCTGAAAAGACTTGAATGTCCTGAGTAGTTATCCCAACAGAATTTTCATATAATTTTGGAATATTTTTGGTACAAGTATTGACCACCGAATCTTTGATAACGAAAAAATATACTTGTGAAATGTCCCCATTACAAAATTGACGCTCCTTTTTTTTAAGAAATAGACAGAAAGAGAGGATATGTTTATTGTCTATAAGAAGAATTAACATCTTGTTGACAAACACGTACTACTCACTTCAAAAAATAAGGTGAATTTTCATTTTTCTCAAAAAATATAGTGGCAGTATTTCTAGACTTCAAAAGGACATTTGAGACAATTGACATTAATATCCTACTAAAAAAAACTCAAATATTGTGGAATTTCTGGTTCAATACTTGAATGGTTTGAAAGCTACCTCTCTGATCGAACTCAACAGACTAAAATTAATGGGACATATTCAAACCTAAAAGGTGTCAATAATAGTGTACCTCAAGGTAGTGTCTTGGACCCGCTTCTGTTTGTTCTTTACATTAATGACATCAACTTCATTGATGGATGTGAATTCATCAGCCTATTTGCAGATGATACTCCGATTGCAGTGAGTGAACCTGAATTACAAACTGCTATCAATAAAATTGATGATATGATCGGAATATCTGAATTCCTCAACATTAATAAACTCAAGCTCAATGTCAATAAAATGAAAGCAATGATAATTAAGACAAAACATCTATAAGTATAAATATTTGCAATAAAAAAATTGAAATTGTCGAGGAATTCAAATATTTGAGGTTCATTGTGGATCAAACACTGAATACGAAAAAACATTTCAATTATATCCGCAATAAAATTGCTTATTCGACAATCCTCCATAACAATTTTCTTCACTTTATCAACATTTTCATCGGTTATTGATGATACAAAATATTCCAGTTGAAAAAATTTGATTGATTATCGAGGTTAAAAGTTCAAGGATTCTCAACTCAAACTAATCTAAAGTACACATAAAAGTATTTTTCAAGAGCATTTCGAAAAAGATAACTTTGATATGCTGTGCAGCCATTTGATATATATTTTATTATTTTTCAGAATTGAGGTAGCAACGAATACGGAATCTTCAAGTGAAAATGATATACCACCTCTCTCAAATCCTGTGTCAGCAACTAGAGTACTCTGTGGTGCTCTCTTGATGCCAACGATTCAGTGAGAGAAGGCTTATTGTGTGAGAGACCGGCTTCGTTCTCATCCTTACTCCGTGCAGTTCTCTGAGTGAGAAGTGACAGCAGTAGATGCCTGGCAGGAATAACGGATCTGTATGATTAGGGTTAAAAATGACTAAATTACTAAAATGGCTGTGAAAAAATAGGGGTTGGTGATAGAAGGGATGTTTGGGGTGGAACCCCCTTTATCACTTGTGGTGTGAAAAATAGATTGAAACCTATTCTCAGGCTAACCAAATATACATATGAAATTTCATGAAAATCGGTCAAGTCACTGTAACAACACAAGAATTTTATATTTTAGATATATATCAACCTTCAGCAAGTTGAGAAATACCGATTTTTTTTATTCTTTTTGTTGGTTCCAATGTGAGTTTAAAATCCTTCTTTCTGTATATTGCTATAACGTCAATTCTTCTAATGCTACCATTGGAAGCTATACAGTTGACTTTATTATGAACTTCGAATTGTTCATTATCATTTTGAATGAAAAGGCAACTTCATTTATCATTTATATTTATTGAGGTCAATTATGAGGTTTCAAAATTCTGAGAATAAATTAATTTGATATACAATTATAATGTATCTGAATTTTGGTAATTTTTGATACCAAACTTAAATCTTGTTAAACTGATAGTTGAAGCTCAAAAATATCACGTCTATTTTTTTCAGCTGCAGCAGATATTTCCTAGGCAAATCCTAAGTATAAAGGATTATCATACACTTAATCTATATCATGACTTTTATCAAAAGTAAGACTAGTACTCCAACAAAATACTGAAATCATGAAGTCATTTCATGATAAAATATGAAAACCCTGATGATGGCTAGTAGTTGAATTTTTCTAAAACTGGATCAAAAATGCAAATTGGGTCCTGTATACGGACAGGAATCAGTCCAGTACCATGAAGGTGTTCTGATTTCTTGCAACCGATACACATTTGGCATGACGTTACTTAACACAGCATAGTATGAACACAATCTGGAACCTTTATTTGGAATTTCTGTATTGTACGGAGGCGCCAAAATATCAAGAAAAGCAGCTGGACCATCAATACTCTGAATTTCATGAATGTTCTTATTAAATGGATCCAAAATACAAGGTTTACTATTTACGTCAACTACTTCACTACTAATGAGTTCTGCCGTTAATATTTTTCTTCTCCTGTGATCAATCGGTGGCACAAAATCATCTTTGAAACTCATTCTATCGATGTCCAGTGTTTTAGAAGTATTTAATGAGTAACTCGTTATTTTTATCTTCCCAGAGATTACTTTTATCAATCCATACATTTCTGGATGATTGTGTAAAGGTAGTTGGCTACCTGATTTTAGTATGAAGATGTTCATAGTGAGATTTGAATCTTCATAGATATCAATGAAAGTAACTGGTGCTCGATCATTTTCTCCCCAATCTTCATTCATATATCTTGTGTCCAAATTGACATCTTCTGCAGTGGTTTTATCCAAAACAGCGGATAAACTGTTTAAATTCGAAGCAAACAATTCAGGTCTGCTGGTGAATGTAATTATTGCTTGTTTCAATACTTTATGTATTTGACTAGCCATTATGATTACGATAAAAATTTGCTACTAGCCTACTCAATAATTATAAATGAACCTATTCAAATCAGCGATAACTTATCGATTTGGATTATATCTACTGAACACTTCGTAAACAACATATCAAATCAACAATCATCATCTGTCGCTGTCGCTTTGAATTTTAGGTTAAGGTGAGTAAGTTTAATCAGAAAGTCAGCTGTGGATTCAGTCATTGGTTCATTTGAAACATAATCCAACTACCATTGGTTGGTTGACCGTAAATGCGTTTTAAACATCGACGAATAAACTCACTTGAAGACAGGCTCTTTAGCATCATTGCCAGATGCAAAAAATTTCTTTGGATTCGAAGAATTTTCTATAAAAAAATGAAGATTTCCTCAAATTATGAGGAGTTTAACGAAAAATTGGAGTCATCAAAACTAATCCCTAAACATAGAATTTCTGAGCAAATGACCTGCAAACAGAAAACGAACAAAAAAAAATAATGACATGAATGTAATTTTTTTTTCAAGATTTGGTGGAACGGGAATAGTTGGTGGCAAACACTGTTGGCATCACTGATACAAACCTTTCGTCAAAAACCAACTAACAATTTTTCATGTTCAAAGTGTTTATTCTTTTACGACTTCATGATTTCCGAATTTTAAATCTAAACTGAATTCTGACTTCTGACTTGTTTACGAGTTTTAAAAGTGAAATATATCAGTTAACATAATACATATTCATAAATAATCATTGAAATGCATGTCAAGCAACAAGAAAATTTTTCAGTAAGACAGTTGATATGCCCCATAGAGAATTGCTCAATAATTTATAGTTGTTAATTTGAAGATTCGAATTCAACATGCCTTGAACCTCCCAGTTCGTATGAGATGTGCCGAACTAACTGTTTTGTTAGAGAGAGGAAGTTTATTGGAACTACACAATTTTTTTCCTGTATTAGTTGATAGTATATTTGGACCACAAGGTACTGTGTCATGGGGACTTCGAACGACCACAGAATTTCAGGGGGAAGATTTTCGACAGCTTCAGCATTTCTTGTCACCTTGTGGCCCCCTCTTCAAACTAATTTACACTCTGTTGAAAGATCCTAGTGCACGCTATGACTTCCCAATTGTATATCTTCCAGTAAGTTTTAGATATAGTTTTCCAAGTGGTTCTATTCCTTCATATTTTTTTAGACAAAAATAAGATACTTTCTAGAACAGTCACATGTACATCCCTTCTATTCTGAGTTGTCTCATACCAACCCGCAAACAAAAGTTACGTCTATATTATTGAGTAAGTATTTACACTATTTGTAGGAATCATGGGTATAGTTGTATATAATTGTTTCAGATCCTTTTGATTACTACATATTCCATTTTGCTTATCATTTGATAAATCCCTGGCAACAAAGAGGAGGTTCTACTGCTACTTCCTGGAATACTGTTTATTATGTTTTATGCTGTGACTATATAATTCAATTTCTGCCAACTGATCCAGGTGCCACAGTTCAGCCAGTGATTTATTATAACGGAAAAAATCCTTTGCAAGCAGTAAAATGCAACCTACTGTAAGTTGCAATTGGTCTTATAAAATATAGATGTTTCTTCAATTATTCTTTTTAGTGAACAGTATACTAGAAGTCCAGTAGGGTTGATCAATTCTAACATGCTGACAAAAGTAAAAGATGATAGTTTTCAAAACAACTTGGATATCCATCATCCAAGGAATGATATATGGCGTAGCGAGACTATTCTTACAGTTTTTACTGACATGTGGCTGCATAATGATCAAGTTAATGAATCTTCAAATAGTTTCAATAGCTCATTTAATAATCCAAGTCCAGTGGTAAGTGTTTCATATTTTCAGGGGTCCTGCTTTAATTGGGTAATATGTCGGAAACCTGCCGCAGGGGTCCTGCCTGTCACCACACTTGTATACGCTTTTCGTTCTAGACTTCCCATTCTTGACTTCTAGTTCTCGTTCTTGACTTCTCGTTCTCGAGAACGAATGTGGGTATCTACGCAGATGATACAGCAATTTAGGCGCATTTGCTATCGAGCGAGGTGATGAAGCAGCAGCTGCAGATCCACCTCGACAGTTTGGTTGTGGCCTTACTTCAATCTAGATCAATTTTGGGAAGACGGAACTCGTCAACTTCTCTAAGAAACTTACGAATGTGAAGTACTTCGGGAAGTTGGTACTCAAGGGAGATAGTGTTGACGAGCAGAGGAGCGCACAATATCTGGGAGTCATCCTGGATAGGAGCCTGAGCTTTCAAGAAAACTTGAGCTTGGCGATCCACCGAGCGGCTGCGGCGGTTAAACGCACTGCAGCTTCAAGAGGTCTCCTCTGTTATTGAAATTTGGGAGGATGCGGAATAAGGTGTTACATATTTGCACCAATAGTGACAGATACATTTCATTGGATGATCTGGTAGAAGCGGGGTCGATCACTGATAACATAATGAGGCTGGCTCATCAATTCTTCGAGTTGTTTCTTCCGAAGAGCCCCCTGGTGAGGGATATCACGGCGCTTAGGAGTAAACAAGATTTATGAGTCATTGGACATCTTCCATGAACGGCGCTTAGAGACGTCTTAGACGGAAGCGGATATGTGGCTCTATTGAGCGGAGTGCCATCTCCAACCACCAAATCATGGGTTCGTGAGGCGGCGTTGTTTTTGTAGTCATCCTGGGGCTCAGTATTGCAGCCTTCTCTTGTGTCCCCCCCATCCCGGACCTATCCCTCTCCACTCCTGCGTGTGGGCGGTGATTGTATAAATTGTAAATACTTGTATATATATCGAGTTCTCAGACATGTACAGAGAAATAGGTAATACAGATTTTGATTTTGTTTTTTTTGGAGTTCGCCGCACTTGTTGAGCTGAGGTGTGAATATTATATTTCCAGAAATCTTTTCATCATAACGAACTCCCTACAGGCGAGTACATGAGAATAGTTCGAGTGCTAATAAAACAATTACATTCATTTCACGCTAGTGCTAAAGCAGATGATACTCATTTGGGGGAATTGAAGAAAATATCAATACCGATGATCCAAGGCAAATTTTATATATTTTTGAGAAATCTTATTCATCGTTGGCCTTTGGATGGTTCATTCAGACTTGTGTTGGAACTTTGGTTGACTTATGTACAGCCTTGGAGATATCCTGCAAATAATTTGATCAAACAAATGTGAGTAGAATAACTGAGTGTTACAGGGTGTAGGTAAAATACTTTTTCAAATAGACATTTCTACTGAGTTCACACAACTGTTGTTTTTTTATGTTGCTCTTTGAAGGAAAGAGACAAATATCCGTACAAATGAAACATGTGAATTTATAGAATGGTATCTGCTCTTTTTACTGAATATGAATTATATGCAGTGTGAATAATAACGCAAATAAAGTGTATTTCATCAGTTCGGACTTCCATTGTCTAATATTGTATATTAGACAATAATATATATTGTAAGTGCATCACATCAAATAGTTTTATTATGTATATATCGTCCTCCCTCAGGGGACACTGAAATATTTTTTAACTTGCTGAGTAAAATATTAGATGCATGTTTAGTGAAATTCTCTAAATTTAATATAATCTTATGCGGAGACTTTAACATAAATCTACTAACAAAAGACGCACTGACAAATGCCTTTTTAACCATTTTAACCACCTATGATATGCATCAAACCATATTTGACCCAACAAGAATTACAAAAAAATCACATACCCTTCTAGATAATATATTTATCTCTACAAGTAAACACTATGAATCAAAAATTCTAAATACTGCACTTTCTGATCATGAAGGACAAATCTTAATATTATCCACATTAAGCGAAACGAGACCCAAAGCAACACAATGCAAAAGAATATTCTCTGAAGCAAAGATGGAGCAATTCAGACTTGAAATAGACTCTCTTGATTGGAAAGAATTATCTACTACTGATGATCCAAATATAGCTTATGATGATATATTCATTATTAAAATAATGAATCTGTGCACTCGATGCGCTTTTTAATCT